TCCAAAGTTGCAATTTTGGAGCTTCATAACTTGAAAAGTATTCAATAAAGAAACATTTAATTATAGTGGTTTGGAAAGCTCTTGAGATCAGCTACAAGAATATGTAATAAAAAATAGGGGATGCCATTTAAAAAAATTGTCGTGACTTTCATGTGACTTTCAAATAATTCTTCAAGGTCAAACCAATGGTACCATCTTATGGTCCCTTCGAAACCAAACAACTTTTGTCTGAAAAATTTTTCTCTCCCGGGCTTGATTTTCGAGATATTCGACTGGATGGATTAAAATAGTCCACCCTGTATATTACTATTACCTGTATAAATAACTTGATATCAGTAAATGCTGTCAAGTTAAATAAAAATTATGTACGGTGTCTTATTGTTCAATTATTATTACTTGTATAAAAAATTTGATATTAGTAAATGGCGTCAAGTTAAATAAAAATTATGTTATTCAACCTAAATAATGTGTATATCGTTTGTATAAAATATTTGTTGTCAATAATTGGCGTCAAATTATACTCTCATAAAATAATTAATTTACAACCCGAGTGACATGTATGTACTTACAATACAAAATGAAATGATTTATAGATCTGTAGATCTATAGATGAGATAAGCTAGAAAGAGAGCAGACAAAAGAATAAGAGCAAGTGAGACAGAATCTCAGATGGCGTTACTGGGGAACTTACTCATTTTGCGCATGCGCACTCTGTGTTGACCAACACTGACATCAAAAGTGCCGACAGAGAGTTGCGCTACTGTATATACTGTGCTCTGGCTTCGTCCGCCCAATGGGGGCGTCGTGCATCAACCCGGAGAGGACGGTGTACACTGTTCTTCCGTACACTGGATCCCAGACCACGCAGTTTGGGCAGAAGGCGGGCCAACGCGTCCGCCCTCCTGACCACCCTGAGGGTCAGCAGCTCAAAATGTTTGCCGAACCCCCACCGGCCGTCCAGGCTGAGGCCTAGATACTCGATCGTCGGCCTCACCGCCGTATGATCCACCTTTATGCGGGACTGCGGTGGCGCCCCCCCAAAACCCGTCGTGAAAGAACAGGACCTCGGTTTTCTGGGGCGCCACCTGCAGTCCCATTGCCTCGATGGCTCGGACCACGCCCGCCACGGCATGGTTCGCCTTTGCTACCGCTGTCCCCCAGTCGGCCCCTCCGGCGAGCACGAACGTGTCGTCTGCGTAGCAGGGCCCCCGGGGGAATGGTCGCCCGCAGAACAGCGTCGTATGCAAGGTTCCATAAATCCTGGACGGACCCCTGCGGAACCCCACACGACACAGCCCTTCCGCTCTGGAGTCCGTCTTTGTCGACGAACTCCAGCCGTCTGTCTCGGAGGTAATCTTCCACGGTGGCGACCAGACAGGGAGGCAGCCGGAAGTACACCAGCGCCTTCCTGATCCGGCCCCAGGGGAGGGAGTTAAAGACGTTAGAAATATCTAACGCCACCGCCACTACCACCTCTCCCTCTGCCACCATGGACTCCGAGAGGTCCCTTACTTGCCTTATGGCATCCACCGTCGAGTGGGCCTCCCGGAAACCGTATTGGTCCGGCGACAATTCTGGACCATCCCCCCCGGGACAAGGCGGTTCGAGATGATTCTCTCGAACATCTTACCTGTCTCATCCAGCAGGTAAATCGGCCTATATGCAGAAGGGCTTGCCCTCCTTGCACAGAAGAACAAGATTGGCCACCTTCTACAACTGAGGGAACCTACCTTCCTTAAAGCACCTGGTGTACAGGTGCCTCAGGCGGTCGCCAAGGTCGTCCGCTGCCAGAACCCAGGCCCAACTCGGCACACTATCCGGACCTGGAGCCTTGAGCTTGTCCCTCAGCTCCGAATGGCGCGCTCCAACTCCGGCCCCGTCACCTCCAGCTCCTCCGACCACCCTTCGATAACAGGGCGGTCGACGCGCGGGAGGATTTCCCGCTCTCTGATTGGGAACACGGCCCCCACCACGCTCAAGGAACTGGGGTTCCAGGGTCTCCGTGGTCGGGGGCGTCCATGACTTGAGCTTATTCAAGACCAAGCGGTAAGGATGACCGCACGGGTCATTGTCTAGATCTGCGATCAGATCAGCCCAAGCCCCAGCCTTCGCCTTCCGGATCGCCAGTCGCAGGGCACCCCGCGCGGCACGAAGCACCTCGTACGCTCTAGCGATCCTCTTTCCTGTCCCCTCGACGCCTGGCACGCGTGTAGGCCCTCCGGACCCGGACAGAGGAGCACCGAAGTTCGGCGTCACACGCATAATTTCCTGAATCCGTCTCACGTCTTCTTCGAGAGGAACCTCGGACAGGTCGTCATCGGCCCAACAGCCGACGACCACGGTCGCCTGGCACATGTCCGGGTCCATCTTCTTCAGTGCCCATCGACGCGCTCCAGCCGCAGGGCTGGCACCTGCGGATGCTCGCGGTGGACGGGCAGCGACCTCCATCGCTATGACACGATGGTCCGAGAGACCATTTTCTCTGTTGCCACCCTCCAGCCCCTCACGAGGCGCGCGTCAGAGGGAGTGGCCTACGTCAAATCGACGATGGACGTCCCATTCCACCAAACGCACGTGGGTTCTGTCCCCCGATTGAGGAAGCCCAGCTCTAAACCGGCCGCCCACTCCTCAAGGACGCTACCCCGAGCGTTGCCGCAGGAGGAACCCCAACGTGCAGAATGCGCATTGAAGTCTTCTGCGACCAAGACCGGCCTGGGGAGTCGTCTCGCAACGAACTCCCCCAGCTCCTCCTGCTCGTAGCGGGCTAGCGTCCAACTCGGGGGAAGGTAGCAGCTGAACACGTCGATAGGCCCTCAGTCCACCGTCACACCCGATGCCCGCCGTTATCGGCAGGCAGGGAGGGCGGTCGCCCGCGGGGCGCCATATGATTGCCACAGAGCCGCACGTATCAGCGAACCAACAAGGGTTGCCGATGGGTATGCTGTGCGGCTCCGAGGCGATCCCTATCCCGGCATCCACTTCCGCGAGGCTATGGACAAACAAGTTCTGCGCCCCGCAGGAGTAGTGTAGGTTCCAGGCGAACGCCTGGAGGAGGGTGTGGAGCATTGTGTATTAATGTCCCCCCTCCTCCAGGGTCATCTCCATCCTGGAGTCCTCGGTGGGTCACTTCTGCTCCCCATCGGGACTCGCGGTGTTCCCCTTCTGGGGGGGCAGCAGCAACAGCGGCGGCGCGGCCTCTCCTGCCCTAGCCCTTTTTGGTTCCCGGGCAGGTCTGCCCGCCCGGTGCTCGGCAGGCTTGCCTGCCGTTCGGCACACCGGACAGTCAGGCTTTCGGCCTCGCAAACTCGCGCCACGTGCCCGGGCTTACCACACTTGTAGTAGCAGTCGCTCTTATCATCGCGACTACTGCACGTGCTGCCCACGTTGCCCGTCTCGTGGCACCGAAAGCATTGGAGAAGCCTATCCAGGAGAATATCCAGCCGGCATTTGGCTCACCCCACTGTGACACGAGTCACCTTGGCCACCGCCTGTGCCACCTTGAATGGGCAGCGCGCCCAGGCCGTCCCTAGGCCGTTGGGGGCCATTTTGATGGCCTCCACCTTGATATCTGAGGGTGCATAACTCTCCAGGCCGGCCACCGTCGAGGAGATGTCCTCAGCGGTGATCAAGTCATCGAGGTCCCGCACCCTCATCTCGGCCGTCTTGCTGGGCAGGGAGACTCTGACTCCCTTCCTGCCCTCAAACAGACGCGTCAGCCTGGCGGCAAATTTCCGCGCCTGCTCCTTTGGTTTGGGACCGGAGATCTCCATAACGAGGCCCCCGATCAGGGCCCTCCTGTTACGCAGACCTTCGATCCTGAGATCCGACCCTTGAGATCCTTCGGCATGATGTGTTGTCGCGCCGTACCGAAGAGTCTCCGCATATTGGTCCCGCAGACACGTTACCGTTACCGTGACCATCGCCGTCCTCGGGGGCCTGGTCTTAGGCGCCGGCTTGTTAACCGGCTTTGCCGGTTCTATGGGGCGGCTGCCCACCGACTTTGGCCGGTGGAGCCGCATTGGCTCTCGCGAACTTCGCGGTCCCGGCCTTGGCCTCCCTCCTCGTCTTCCTTCCCAGAACAGTGGTCCACAAAGAGACCTCCGCAGGGGTGGAGGAGGGGGGGCAGAAATCTCGAGTGCTCGCAACGCGACGGCTCGCGTTAAGAGACCTGGCATGGCTTGACATATATGATGACATATATAACTGACATCATTTATATATATATATACATATATTTTATATTATATTTTATTTATATTTATAGTTTTTTAAACACTTGACACCAAGCCACCGTGTCTCCTGATCTCGCCACGCGTGCAAAGTCAAAAATTTATGTGAGACAATACAATTACAGGCATTACTTGTTTCGCGACAAAAAAAAAATAATGATTATATATACATTTATTATATATACATATACGAAGATAGTTCAAAAAGTTCTCGGCCTAACAAAGAAAACATGGTTTTTGGCAAAACTTTTTTTTTATTTTTCGACATAATCCCTTTGTAAGTCAATACATTTAGACCAACGATATTCCAACTTCTTTAGACCTTCAATCATAATACAATTTTCATAATCTTTCAAAATAAGCGTTTGTCTTAGCGATGATCTCAGTATTTGAAATAAATCTTTTTTTAATAAGCTATTTCTTCAGATTCGGGAACAGGAAAAAATCACTGGGGGCTAAATCTGAGTGAGATACTGAGATCTGGGTGAGTACGGTGCATGTGGCAGCAATTTGAAGCGCAACACATGGAGTTCTGCGACTGCAATTATGAATAGATATAGAATATGTTCTGGACCAAATGTAGATCAAGGTCAAGGGGGAAGGGGGAAATGTAGGTCAAGGTTAAGGGGAAGGGGAATGTAGGTCAAGGGTGGGGAAAGGGTTAATTACTTAATTAATCAATCAATTAATTGATAATTAATTAATCGCTAATTAATCAAACGATAATTAGTTTATCAATTAAATGATACTTAATCAATTAATCAATCAATTAAATGATAATAATTAAACGGTATATAATTATTATGCATTGGAGGCGGTACCGCCATTTTGGTCGAAGGTTCTTGCATTGACATAGGAATATATGGATGGCGAGTAAACTGGTTAAATAGGCGGAGGGGTAATAATATCGATGTAAAGGGATCACGTGGGTCACGTGGAATCAAACCACTCACTTCGGTACATTTCGGTTACGTTTGGTAATATTCGACGCGTGCAGAGAGAGAAGACGCTTCCATAGAACAGTGACAGAACACTATACTATACCGAATACTTCTGAGCTACGCTCACGGAATTAGCGTAGTATTCCTACGCTTATAGTACTGCCCTCTTACCGTTATTATCACTTTCCCTTCACAAAAGACTCCGTCCATGTATTCCTAGGTCCATGGGTTCTTGTTCACATTCTCTCTCTCTGCCACGTGTTCTCCTCCTCCCCCTCTTACGCTTTCCGGAAGGTTCGCGTTCTTTCTCTTCCCCACCTCTTTTCCCAATAGAATGCGCATTTTAAGGAAACAGGTAGAAGAAACGAGAAGATTAATAATGTTTTAACACATGACGTATGCTTAATACACATTTATTTATGTAACGCATCGTACACAATATTATTAGAAGCGTTAGCTATTATTTCACAATTCACAGGTGAAGTTTTACCGTACATCTTACGCAAAAGATTGATCACATCATATTTATTCATGATACAATTTTCGCATAAATAGCTTACAAAATACTGAAATTTTTCGTTCACGCACCAAATCTTTTGACTTAATTCAAAGTACATATACATGCTCGATACAGTGTTCAAAGTCAAACATGAAGAGCACGGTTGACGGCTTTATGTGCATACAAGTATTGCGCAATGTTAATTTTACGGTATTCAATTCGTACATTTTTACAAGTTGTACAGTCAAATCCTGAATTCTTAGCGATGATGATATCTCAGCAGACTGCAAAAGTTGTTCGATGTCAGCGCGTCTCTCGATAAACGCTTTCCAATCAGCATAAGGCAGGATTATTCAATTTCTTCGGTTGTCACCAATAAATAATTTTACAGAGGCCAGAAGCCCCACGCTAATTCCAACATCAAGGTATTTAAAAGCTGATGTCAAAGCGAATCTCCTTCCCAATATGCAAAGCGTATCCGAGATCTCAAGGTATGAGACGCATTATTGTAAAAAAAAATACATCTAACAATAAGTAACCGAAGACATATTTAAGAAATAAAAAAAATATAAATACGGTCTCTCATACGATTTATTCTCTTGAATCAGGACATAGTAGTTCATGTTTCCCTCATACATTTTTTTCGCTGTTTACTGATTAACTGTTGCAGTGAATTTCTGTTCGAGCTCTTTTTAACTTTTCTCCCCTCCTTTTTGTTTCTCCTCGCATTTAGTCATTTCATTATCCCATATTTCATACGCTTCAGCCGTAATCCTCTCATCTTTCCCCAAAGTGTAATACATACACCAATACAGACATGACAAATGTTTGTCACACCAATTATACCTTCTTGTATTACACATTCCACCAGTATTAGTAAATATGTTTGTAAAACCGAGTTCGAATAAGATGTATAACCTGTGAAAAACAAGGTTCCGCTTCGTTTACATTCATTTTCACAAAGCGACTACGTTGAGAAATTCAACCGAGAGAATAATCTTTATGAGGAGAGTCTCCTTTATATTTTTTCTGGTGGATAATTCGATGAAATGTTGGAGGGTCTTTTATTTATGCTGAAAATTAGAGATATAAAAAATTATTGAGCTAGCGAGTTATTGACAAAGTACACAGTATCGTATAATATCGGAAAATTCTAGGGCTAGCGAATCATGGAAAAGTAAGGGGAGCGCCCCGTTTGACCACGTTAATATTGACCATTGTTTCGATTGACCACGTTGTTATTGACCACGTTGCTATTAACTACGTTAATATTTACCACGTTGAGATTGACTACGGTTCCGATTGACCATTGTCCCGATTGGCCACTGTCCCGATTAGCCACCGTCCCGATTGACCACCGTTTCGTTTGACTACCGTTCCAATTGGGCACGGTTCCGACCACAGTCCCGATTGACCACTGTCCCGACTGACCACTCACAACACAAGTTATAACATTTTACTCGAACTGAGGTTTACTCCACACCAAGAGATGGTTTGGATTAGGTTAGCTTGAAACAAAATAGGGCCCCCCGAAGGGGGGGCGTGGAACTTACTGCCTCTACGCGTGTACTTTGCAACGGAAAGCGAGGTTCCACATGGGTTTACAACTTTTTACGCGAAGCGATCGGGATGATAGTCAATCGGGACGGTGGCTAATCGGGACGGTGGCCAATCGGAACCGTGGTCAATCGGGACGGTGGTCAATTGGGACCGTGGTCAATCGGGATCGTGGTCAATTGGGACGGTGATCAATCGGGACGGTGGTCAATCGGGACGGTG